CTTGCTCGTGAAACAGTAGCAGCTTGCAAGAAGTGGCGGACGAGCGTTTCTCGAGTCCCTGCTGTCGTCGTCGTGACGCTATAATTATCCGTGTCAAACACCTCGGCTAAAGGCAAAACGTGATCTTGACACGGTGATCAGCTTCCCTCTCTCTCGCTCATTCGCTTACTTACTCTCACTTGCGCGACCTCATTAGGCAATCAGGTTAAGCCTTATCAAATTTACAAATCCATCCTCATCGCACGTGCAAAAAAACCTTATACCTGCGAGCTGCAAAAAATATTTTTTCTCTACCCTTTTTTCGACACGCGACGATTCGTGTGTGGCATGTTTTCCATTCGCTAAATATGCAAATTCCTTTAATTTGATAAGTTTTCGATTCGATTTTTTCCCTTCTTCCTTCTTTCTTTACTTCGTTCCAGCTGAATTTTAAAAGTCTTGACGGTTATTTGGCATTAATAATTACCTTGAATTTTCTATTCGAACCGTCTGGATACCAGCCAACTCGAGTATATCTTAAAAAATTCCATTTGAATTATTTTATCGCTTTGCCGATTCCTTTATTGTTGTGTGCACGAATACGTACTTTTTACTAACTTGTTATCTTTTCGGATACATCTTAGTAAGACATGGATGGATGCACAAGGGATCACGTAACTGGCGTGTGACTTTGAGAAAAACAAATATGTCAATTAGGGTCAATGCAATCTTGAATTAATCTATTTTTTGAAAATAAACTCAAGTCACAATTCGTAGTATTCGATAACATTTTCGGAAGAGCTTTTACTCCAAAGCCAACTGGCTAAAAATGCGGTCGTAAATTTTATTGCTGATAAAACAGCGACCGAATTCTCGTGAACGCATTACATAATACGAGTATCTGTCAATCAGATTGCAAAAATTTTTACTCGGAATCGCTATCAATTCCTCTTTTTTCGTTATCCAAAAGCACATAACTCATAGCATTTTTATGACCCGCACACACATGCGGTCTCAAGAGTAAAACTTTCATGTATACCCAAACGTCACCTGAAATAAGCTAAGCCTCATGAAAAAAGGAAGAAGCGTCCGGCTTGTAGACATAAAAGAAAGCGTGTCACCTCAAAAATAAAGTACCGCGGGGGCGAAAACAAAATTATTCCGAAAGGGAGCTAAAGAAGAAAAAAGCTACGAGCTCAAAGATCGACATTGCATACACACATAGGTGGGCGCGCGCGCACATATACGCACACACACAGAGCATCTATTCAGTATAAGTCATCGCATGTTTACACGGCTCGCAAGCTCCCTTCACTTGTGTGCCGTAAAAGCCACAAAAGCTCATTAATCTTGTAGCGCGAAATCGAGAGAGAGCGAGCACGTGATTTTCTCGCGCCTTCTTTTCTCAGCAGCTGCCGCGTCAAGGACTTCACGTCACGGTAGAAGGTAGTATAATGTATCAATTTTCCCTTCCGGCATCGATTTCGCTCGCTCGCGCTACTCTACGTCAATCTTTTATATCCTGGATTTGCGAGAGGGCTATTCGTTGACGTTTATTATGTGTTCATTATTCAATCTGACTGATATTGCTTTATAGATTATACTCCGAGTTTAATACACTCAAAGTCGCGTGATTAAATTAGTTAAATTGCGTTTTCAAATGTTTGTTTGCCAACACTCCGTGTACAAAGGACTGAATTAATAGTCAGCAATGGCAGTATGATTTGCGCACTTTGTGATTAAATTGAAAAACGTATAGTACTTGGTTAAAACATGTCTGAATCAAACGTCGCGGCTAATTGTATAGCTATCAGATAGAGATACGAATCACTATAGTAAGAGAACGAGGAGTACAAAGTTGAAACTTGAAAAAGTAATAAGCAATCACCGAGGAGAAATTTGAAACTAAGAACTGCAATTAAAAGCCAGTAGCGTATAGACGTTCGTAACCGACTTTCTTTTTCGTTAAATAGGCTCATCGAGATAAGTGCGTATAAAGCGAGCCAAAGCGAGGGGAGTATCCGTGGAAAAGCCAATTGGCGACTAAACAGGCTGGTTATTAATGAGGCACGAACTCGCGCGCTCAGCTCATAATCGCCCCCCCCCCTCCCCACTCTCTCGCTCTCGCGAAGCTCTGCGTGACGAGTCGAACTTTGTCGTGTACACGAGAAACTTGAGAGAGGGGCAGCAAGAAAGGGGAAAGAGTCGCACGCTTTTGGCTCGTCTTCTCGAGTTTTGATTTATTTTCTTAATCTAATTTCTCCGCTTTATCATTTCTCGGGTACATTCTCTTGCGTTTGTTTTTGCCTCTTTCTGCTTTTATTTTTCCGCTTTAGCTCTCTCTTCCGGCGCGCTCGCTTACTTTCTATTCTTTGGACGCGAACTTCGCTGATAATTTCAGCCAGATTATTTGAATTGTTTCGCATTACTTTTTCAGCAGGCAAAAAACATATCTGGTATGTCTTTGATTCGACTGCGTACTTTTGCTCGCGTTTGATATCAATTATTTATGAACGGTAACGCTTTTACTAAAATGCAACAATTTTTTATTAGTTTGAATAGTAATTGATAACGTTTCAAATTCCCGTGCTTTTGAAAAGTCCATTGACATTTATGAATATAGAAATAACCATACCATGCCCATCTATCAATTATAATCTCAAGTAACCAAAAGATTCAATCATTTTCACTCATATTAACAATATAAAACTAAAGAGATCGAAAGTTTGAAGATAAATGTTCCTATTTTATAAATTTTTGACTTTGAAGACTGCATATTTTAAAAAATCTAATATTTTTATTTAGAATAACTATATTTTTTAATTTTCAAGGGCCACAAAATTCTTTTTAGGAAAATTTAAAAATATATTCAATTTTACTTGCACCTATAAAATTCTTCATAGGCTTAACGTAACACTATCAAAGTTAATCTATTTTGTACAAAAATTCAATATAATATTCAAATTAATATATTCAAGAATAACCATGCCTTGAGTCATCTATCAGTTAAAATCTCAAACGATACAACGACACAATAATTTTTAATCTCCAAAACCGAGCATAAATTTTATACAAAACGAAGCTTTTCCAATATTCAAACCGATTTTTATATAGTGAATAACTATTATTACTATAAAACTAAAAAGAATAGAAACTGGAAAACGGGTGAATAAACAGACACACATACAGCAGCATCAGGAGCAGCAGCAGCGAGAGAGTGGCAATAAAAGCCAATAGACAGTCTCTCAAAGAAAGAGCATCCCGTTCTGGTCGCGACAACGACAGCAAAAAAAAAACAGAATCATCCTCGCGAACAAATAAAAGTTTTTATGGAGCCCAAGTTCTGGCTGGTAGCTAAACGATATAACGCTTGCTGAGGAAAAGGGCGCGAATGCATCACACGGCTTTTTCCAATTACATTTCTCGAGAGGCATTGTTTCCCGTGCGCATCCTCCTCCAATTATTCTACTCTCTCTTGATGCACACAGTCGCTTGCGCGGCGGTGGCGACGGCGGCTCCAGCTATTGATCGCAGTGAGGCTAAGCGGAGTCAGAGAGTGGCGCCCCAGCCACCAGTTCTCTCTCAGCTCAGCTGCTTCCTCTCTCTCTCTCTCTCTCTCTCTCTCTCTCTCTCTCTCTCTCTCTCTCTCTCTCTCTCTCTCCCTCTTTCTCCCTCTACGATTCTACACTTTCGCCAGGGAGAAGGGGCAGTGTAGCTTCACTTGGATGCACGTGCATCGCGGCTCTGTAGATTTCTTGCTAATGCACGTGCGTCTATCGCGCTCGCACTGATATTGCCGTGAGACGAGTCCCGCGCCTTCTCTCTCTCTCCTTCTTTCAAAAATGCTACCCCGAGCTGCGTCTCCCTCACTACCGGGGGGCCGTGCTGCACTCAATTATTCGCGGTCGACAAATATACTTAATGTTTGTCCCTTAGCTTTTGTTAAGCAAAAAGCTTTCTCACGTTGAAAATGACGAAGGAATAATAAAGTGCTCTACTTTGGCCCCTAAAACTTCAGCTAGAAAATGCGCACACACTAAACAGTATAGTCTTTGGGGCGTGAAAGTATTCTTTAACTGTATGAGTATATATCCGTAGCGTGTTTTCGTCTTAAATTTAACTTCCATAAAATATATGGAAAAAGAAAAGAAAAATAAATAAAATATAGTATCTCGATGCTTGTGCAATAGACATGAGAGACTTATTCTAGCCGAGCTCCGTGGATAAATGAAAGCTTTAAAAAGTCGTGCGCGGCATGGCGCGAGTGGCATATCGGGGATCGATATAGGCTTTAGCCACAAAGATTACATTTACAAATTGCTATCACTTGGTCTTGATTGGAATTTTCCGGATTAGCTAGTAAAGAATTATCGTTGGAATGTAAAAAACGAAGGAAATGCGAAGAAGCTGGCCACTATTCTAGTGGCCGTCCCACATTAGAAACAATTTCACTACCGAAAATAAGTCGGCGATTTTATAGGCGTAATACGGCCGTTAACTATCAAACTTAATTTTACGAGTGTGCTTTCTTTTCTCCGAGCCGAGAACTCATGCAAAGCGCGGCCCGAAAAGGGCAATAAAATAAATAGCCGCGGTATGCACACTGGCACGAGCTCTAAAAATGCAAATGAAAAAACAGACGAACTACGACGTTGCCTCTAGCATGGCTAAAGCGTCCGGCATAATGCCACAAGAGAGAAAGCTTTAACCATCCCTCGTGGCTGCATATAAAGCCGCATACGTTCGCCTGAATTAAAACTTGCCATTCGACCACTTATGAATACACCAATGTATCGTCAGTTTTTTCTACCTGCTAGATTAGCTCAGCACTTTGCTTTATCGCTGCCGAGTGAATTAAACAGCTCTCTGAACGCTAATTTATGTGTCACCTCGACAAGCTCTTAAAGTGGTGAAATAAAAAAAGACGGGGCCACGGTTCGTTCTGCTGGCATGTTAGTATAAGCAAATCTTCCAAAGGACTAATCATTTCGTTCGAGCAGGCGAAAACATCGGTCACTTACCTCGTTGGTATTCCATCGATGTCTTTGCGTCGGAAAATGCTCAGCGCGCGGCAAAGTCTCCAAATTTTCCGGCAGCTTGATCGGATCTCCATCTAAATGGGACACACACGCAAAATAAATAGTCTCGCTTTAGTTATATTCACATTTATTGATTTGCTAAAGAGTATTCGTGCAAATAAATTAAATTTGGACTTCGTTAAATGGGCATTGTAAGAACTGTTGTAACGAACTCTGCAACATCATGGTAATTGCCTATTTGAAATGAATATCATTTGCCGGATGGTTTACGCTCTACGGACTTAATATTCATTTTTTCTTCTTGCAGATTTGCAATGCTAATTCATGAAACTCTTTAAAAACCCACACTTGTACGAGTATGAAAAAATAGCTAGGAAAAATAGAGGCTAAAACAAGAAATTTTTACGAAAACGAGCGAAATATTCAAATGTAAAGAAAGCATCCCGATGTACAGCTTGATCCAGTGGAGTGGGGAACCTTCGGGCGGACACAAAGCCTTGGATTGAGAATTAATTTTATTCCAAGGAAAGAAGATGCGATTGATTGAAAATATGTTCACAAAATCTTAGTGATCGCGGATTAATAAGCGGAATTTTTCGGAACAAGAAAAAAGGTAAGAGGCGATAAACGAAATGCTGACCCTGTTCCATAACAAAAGCTACCAGGGTTCTGAACAATCGCTCGTCAGTAACCTCGTAATGACCGAAACCTCCACGACCACGAGCAGACGTATCTTTATTGCTGCTGCCTCACTTCTTTGTTTTTTTTTTGTCTCTTCTCGAGGCGACTCTATTATGCAATGCTCAGAGGAAAAGAAAGAGAGGCGGCGCGATAACTTGGAATCTCGGGCTCAGTAATGAATGTACGATTTTCTTTTGCATTTTCTCTACGTACTTACTGGGGTGAAACACTGCAATCTTGAGTTTGAATGTAGGGTATTCGGTTGTCGGCTTAACGACACTTTCGAGTTTTTTAGTTCTCATATGCTTTTCGTACGGCTTTTTCGCTATGAATTTAAATATTACTTTTATTACAGTCATTTGCTATTGTATAAAGGCAACAGATGCCTTTTGATAATTACTCCATTTCGAAACACTATCCAAATAGGTCTAATTGAGAAATTCTAATGATCAATAAAACATAACAGAAGCTTCAGCATTAATTTTGCTGTAAAAATAAAAATAGATACTAAATCTTTCAGAATTTTTTTATTAGTATAGATGACTATGTTAATTGCAGTTTTGTTTGGCAGTTTAAATTCTACCTATCCATAATATTAACATACGAAAATGATCAATTATCAATTATAATTAACTTTTTTTATGCTGATATTAAAAGATTCAAGAAGATTCAAAATGAAATTAAGAGTCAACACAAAGTGAAAGTCACTGGAGCGATCAATAAAGTTTAATTCAAAAATTTGTTTACTCACGAATAAACACATCAAATATCATATGCATTAAGGAATGAGAAAAAAATGAATTCTTAAAACCTATTATAATAACTCAAAGTGCAAGTTCATCTCGAAAACAAATTGTTATAACTCACATTTATGATCCAATTTTTTCACGTCGAATACCAATAATCCCGACGATTATTCAGCCAATAAAAGTAGCGACACAAACAAATAAATAACAGTTCTATCTCTCGCGAAAACGTATTAAAAAAGCAGCCATCCGCACAATCCAAAAAAAGGAGAAAGCTCATCCTCAAGGGAGATTCTCCGTAAGAAACATGCCATGCTATATCGGAACTCACGCGCGATATCCAGGGGGCTCAATCAATTAATAAAGCATCCTTCTCTCTCTCTTTCTCTCTCTCTCTCTCACTCATTCTCTCTCTCTCTCTCTACGGAGAATAAACGGAGCTAATTCCTCGGCACTATTAGCTGCCATCAATCACTACCTCCCTCGTTCTCCTAGCCTTTAACACATATATAGAAATACAGAGTTTGCTGGTAACCTAAAAATCGGAAAAAGAAGGAAAAGAAGAAAGACGGTTGCATCGCTTGGTCGTCGTCGTAAACATTATCAAGTCAAATGAGCCGAAACACGGAGTGAGCGAGAGAGGGATTGAATTTGCATGTACGTCAAGGAATCGAGTTTGGTTGGGAGTAGCCTAATGAAAGAGCGACTCGCGCGCGCGTGCCAGCACGTCTATAAAAGAAACATGCGCAAGCAAAGCAAAAGCCTCTCCGCCGTTGGCTCGCGCGCGGCGCTCATAACGAGCCCGAGACACGTCACGTGCCTTCCAGCCATGTGCTCGGCTCCGAACTCTCCACGCTGCTACTTCGTTATTTCGCGCTCGGGCCAATCTCTTTTCCATTTGGAAAAGAACAAACGGCTGAAGAACAATCGAAATGGAATTTTCAGGCTAATTGGCGTGGAAGTGCACTTGATCCGATTATTTTTGGTCGGGAGGAAAAAGGCTGCTCGTCTGACTAAACCGCGAGTATCTCTACTTGAAGCGAAAAGAGTGCAGAGCCAAGAAGCGGAGAGACGTGCTGTCTATCGTATTGTTTATTGCTCACTGGGTGCGAGGGGCGTGGGATAAGTGGCGTGGTAGACGACCCTCTGGCTGGTCTGCGGCTGATAGCCGGCCATGGCTCCGTCGACGACAACGAGTTTGTTGCAATTGCGCCCGCGCATCAGCACCAGATGCTGCACGACATCGTCGTCGTCCTGCTGCTGATTGCCGTTCTGTTGCGATGAATCGTCGTCGCGATGACGTTCGACGAGATGGTCGTTGTCCTATCCGGGCTCCTTGCGGCGCCGCTTAGCCCGAAGCCTAAAGAACTCGCTGCCAGCGGCGCCGCCAGCAGCATGTTCGTGCTGCTGCAGCAGTCGACACGTGCTGCCCGTCGTGCTTTGATGATTATTGTTACTGATGTTGCCGCTTATCGTTTGCTGCTGCTGCTGCTGCTGTTGTTGTCGTTGTCGCTGCAGGCTGTAGGCGTGTTCAGCCTCGACGGCCCGCTGCTCCAACTGTTGTACTATCGTGGTGACTGCGTTTTATTTACCCTCGGCTCCACCGCCGAAATCCTCTCGAGTTCGGCCCCTCCCGACGACTCCTGTACTGCCGTACCTTCTCTCTCTCTCTCTCTCTCTCTCTCTCTCTCTCTCTCTCTCTCTCTCTCTCTCTCTCTCTCTCTCTCTCTCTCTCTCTCTCGTGTCCTCTTGGCCTCACCACTTTGGAGTCGTCGTCGTCGTCGTTGCACGCAGCAGCAACTCTCTCGCGACTACTGAGCCCACGGACTGTTCTACTCCTGCTGCCTGTGCTGCTGCTGCTGCTGCTACTGCTACTACCCTACCCTCCCACTGCCAACCTCGAGCGCGCGCAGCCACAGCCCCACCGCTCGCTCGCTCGCTCGCTAGCCTCCCCGAATACTCTTTCTCTCTCGCTCGCTCTTTTTCTCTCGCGCTTCGAGGCCGAAGTCAGCCTCATATGGCGAAGTCCAAAATGGGAGCGTTACTTCAGCTCTGCCGGCTTATTTTACTGCTTCTTCTTCTCTTTCCTCAAGACAAAATACACTTCCGTGTCGTTGAGTCTTTTTCAGATTACGGATCATACTGGCTCTTCAATCTTTTTTCATTTTAAGGCAACGTTGCTTTTTTTCATGTTTTACCTAGACCAACGAACTATTTTAATTCTTTCTTTTCCGTGGTTTCCAATTAGCGGATGTGAGACTTAGTAGTGCGCGTAATAGACGATGACATTCATGAATTTAAGCAATATACGAAGTACAGCTCTAAATTTTAGAAAACCTGTGTGACTTAAATATAGATTTCAATTTAGCAATTCAAGTTCACGTCAAGGCGTATTTCACTTTTCCTATTGTTGGTTTAACTTTATTATATACGGCAATGATCATGTAGCTCTTAAATTACTAAATGAGAAATACATTCTTGATCGGATATATTTTCTAAGCGCCTCTTTTTAATGTCCAAGTTTTTACACAAACTAAACGTACAGAAAATAACTTTATATGATAATATTTATTTTACGAATATTCAACTTTTACATCGTCGCTATTAATTCAGAAGCTGCTAGGAAAACAAAGTCATAGCTTTGCATGGCAACGTTTAAATGAAAGTAAACTTTAAAAGGGCTGGTTTGACTAATTGATTACTTATTTTCAATGGGACAATATAATGCTCGAAGGACTTTATTTTTTTTATGAATTTCCTATTGATGTCAGTCCTTATTCTGATTTCAAACAAAGTGAAAAAACGTATTCGTTAATTTGGTATGTCAAATACATTCGAAATTTTGTAATGCAATTTTTTTCGCAATTAACGTTCTGTTATTTTAATAAACTTAGTCAACTTTAATACGAGCAGAAATATTCAACGTAATTTAAACCTGATAATAATGTTGATAAGTAACTAACTACAGATTAATAGTACACGTGCATTATTTTTATTTCCGATTAATGTATGTCAGATAGGTAAAATATAAATTCAATAATTGAAAAATTGACTTCTGCTACGTGCCTAACGTGTCTAAACTAATTATAACGAAATGTCATATATATTATTTGAACTTAGGACGATGTTTCAAATCCATATTTATCCTTCCAAATGACGGTACAAAACATGTCACTCTGCCAACAATAAAAATGTGAAAGCTAGCCAACATATTTTTATTACAAATGCTCGCTCAGTAAAAAAAAGAGCAAAGTCTCACAGCAGGCTGCTCGTCTCCGGCTGAGGCCATAAAAAAGGCATAGACCCTGATATTCAGCTCTCGCACCTTTGGCTGTGAACCGGCGGCGCGCGAGTGTGACACCTGCAGAAAGTTCGACGGCAAGCGGAGCGAACATGCACGACCCGTAGTTCTCTTATGTACGCATGATCTAGGTCCCTTTCTTCTTCGAATAAGAAGCTCACGGCGTGCGGCGGCAGTGGCTGGGACATCACGTGGAAAAGCAATAAGTCAATCTGCTTTATATGCGCCGGCTACTGCATCCCAAAAATTCCAAAGAAAGCGCCACCGAGATATCGATGAATAATTCGATCGATCGCCACGTTTCGCCCCTGAATTATTCCTCTAGAGAGAGAGAGAGCGAGACAAC